CAGGAGTATGACATGTCATACTCCGGGATATTTGGTACAAGGTACCAAGGTCATTCAAAACCAACCATTGGTTAAATGACATTGCATTTCTATAGGTAACTGATAGTTTGTATTAACCTCAAACTTAACCTACCTATAAATATACTCAGTTTACAATCTACCTTATTTAGGTCACTTCGCTCTCTTTAATTAAAGAGGGGACCTGTGAACTGCCGTTCACTGAGAGTTTGTATACTCTCGGAAGATAACTTCCCCTAGCGCAAGGTGCTGTGTGACCCCGTCACAAGCAAGCAGTGTCAGACGCGCTTGGGCTCTGAGATCCTTAAGAACCCCAAGGATCCGGTGTATCCTTTGGTGACGGATTATGCAGGCGTGGTGAACAAGCACCCACCGACCCACCTCCCACCGGATCGAGGCGTACGGCATGAGATCGATCTCGTGCATGGCACAAAGTCTCTGCGCAGGCCATACAGCTCAGCGATTTGTTGTGGTTTGTGTAAGGAAGCCAGATCTGACGGTATTTGTGTGTTCTACTACACCTGAGAAGGTTATCACTTTCCTTCCCTTCATACGGCTTAACCTTCAGCCGTATTGGCTTCGGGTGTGGCGGATTTGTTTCCGCCGCCGGAGCCTGCAGTTTCTCCCGCATATGCGCGATGAGCCCCTGCTCGTAAGCGTCAAACGCATTGACACGCTCGAGCTGCTCGGCCGGTGCTGACACCGCCAGGCTCTGCAGGGCCTCCATCCCGAAGATGCCTGCCATCTTCCGAACCGACTCGAACTGTGAGTCGTTCAGATGGGAGAAGTCGCTCCTATCCATGGCAACGAACTTCAGAGAGGTTCAGGTAGTCTACCCGCGTTGGCGTGGACTGACTACTAGTGTTACCAAGTGTGACGGAGTCACACAGCACCTTGCGCTAGAGGAAGTTGGCTTCCGAGAGTATACAAACTCTCAGTGAACGGCAGCTCACAGGTCCCTTTTACCGTAAGGGAGCGAGGTGATTAATTTGAGGTAGCTTGTAAACTGAGTATATTTATAGGTACAGTAGGCTAAGCTTGAGTTAAATATACGTACTATAAGTCACCTATCGAAAAGAAATGTCATCAGCCATTGGTGCCTCGGACGACCTTGGTACATTGTATCAAATATCCCGAAGCATGACGTGTCACACTTCATGTAACTAGGAGTACCTTTAGGGCTACGTACCCCGTTACAGACTCTCTCTTGATCTGAGGATTGTAAACAGGTTATATTCGGGTGAAGCCGAATTTGACACAACCCGTTACATTCTGTTCTGACGGCCATGCCTTGTGGAAACCCTTCGAATTTATCATTTATATCGATGGATAGAGGTTTTTTGACGCGACATTTCATTGTTCTATTATTAATATCGATCTTCTTTTTATGCGCATCGGAAAAGACGCGCTCACGTGGGTAACGAATAAATGGGTATATGTCTACGTAGCTGCGTCTAATCGATAACTCTACTGTTCACTTCCGTTTGTGCTTAGAGCTTCGTGAAGCTGTTCGGTCTGCATGTGCGCTGCGACCTGCACGAGTTTGAGAAGTTTCCTGCCAGCCACGCTTGGCGTTGGAAGACAGCGGGACTCTGGCGGACACGTCTGCTGACCAAGGCTCAGTGCTGTGGAGTGATTGTGTCCATCATGGAACGCTCGGATCGAGGTGGCATATGTATATTTCAAGTCTTGGTCATGCATGGGCTCGCTGATGTCTCAATGCACGACAGTGGAGCTTCTGGTAGACGACGGTACGGAGCTCGTCAAGGCGGTATTGTGGAGAGAGGGTGCCCAGGCTCAAGTGACTCTGGGAGATCTCGTCCACGTGGAGGGAAAACTTAATGTGGACAAGAGCTGGGACGCAGTTGAGCAGTCAGTGGCAAGGAATGCAGAGTGTTGTTGACTCACGAGATGGGGACTTACGCGTTGCGTTCCGTCTGTATAGGTCCCGAGAGCTCAGGATCCTTCGGATTTCAAAGGTAGAAGATCCGAACGAAGAACTTCTCCATTGGACTCAAGTGGTGGAGCTAGAACAGGCCTGTTATTCTGCTGGAGAAAAGTCTTTTAGTGCATCCGCTGGGGCCGGCAGCGACGCCCAAGGTGGAACTCACTGGGAGAACATTGCCAGGGAGGCGTTTTTCCGTCTTACCATTGACCCCAGTAGAAAGCAGGAGTTCCTAGGTCGACGCGACCGTGACCCTCACGGTGACATGCTCCTGGAAACCCTAGAGTCTATCCTTAACAAGCAAAAGACAAGTAGCACCACAGAAGCGGCTGATGTCGTTTTCAGCGACCTCATGGCTAGAGAGGATTACGATGCTGTCGTGAGTTGATTTTTCATAGTGTAGAGCGACGTCTGGCTGATACAATTTATTTAATGATGTATCGTTTGCATGGCAGACGAACGGCAATAACGGAGCAGTCAACAAGAAGCTCAGGATTCGCGCATTGCAGTATGTTTTCAGGACGCTACGTCGAGCAGGGCTACTGTTCTTGGAAGACGACCAAGCTGATCGTCATATTTTGCTGAGTTTTGAGGCTGTTTTGAAGCCGGCGCTTCTGCAGTTTCTTCGAGGTGAGGCTCCGATACTTGTGAGCGGATGTTGCTGTAATCCTTTCGTCTGACCGTTTATCCTCTCCCTAGACCACCCGGGGGGCCTTTCTGTTCCAGAAATCGCAGATGCAATAATGATCCAGGAGCGATTCAAGTGTATTCCACTGCAATGGATTGAGACCAGCCTCGGACATCTTTTCACGTCTCAGTTAGTGGTCCAAAGGGACGAGTCGCACCTGTTCTTTCTCAAATAATGGAGACACACACAAACTGCCTAGCTATCTTAAAACTGCCGAGCTCATAGCGTTCTTGCCTCCAGATAGTACACCCATGGCGAGAATTCCTTGAACTGCGGGCAAGACACAAGCAGTTTGCCAGTCTCGCTTGCAGTCGTCTTTTCACTTGTTCCTGATGACAGAGTAGCGTCGACCTTGACTGTGATGATTTTAGACGCTTTAGCTGGGATCGATAAGGATGTCGTTGACAGTACAAAGCGTGGGTTGTCGACCATAATCTCGAATTCTTTCGGCGTCGAGAAAACGTTCTTAAACTCAATGTCTTGTGTTGTCAAGAACACGTACGGGCCTTGAGGCAGTGGGGGCACTGATAGCCCTTGCAACGTGCACTTGTACTCGCCGATAGTATTGGAAAAGAGCGTAAGCGTATCACGGAGCTCACCAATAGCTTCAGGCTCAAACTTGACAAGGATGGATTCAGCTTTCCCTTCCCAGGAGGAGGGCCCTTCCACTTTCCACGTTGCTGGCACAGAAAACGAAGTTGGGTCCTGGACGGAGCATGAAAGCTCTGCTGTAGCAACGGCATAGCTGGTGAAGGGAAATGCCTGAGTTTGAGATCCACCCAGAGGAGCCTTGAAGTACAAAATGCGTTCGGGACCGACTGACAGAGTACGCAATACCAGATTGTACGTATACTCACCGAGTTCCACAAAGCTGATGGTTAAACGGTCCTCAGTCGGTGTCTCCGAGTGAAGCGTTGGCCGGTATTCAACCTCGTAGTGGCCTTCGGCGCGTCCACTGATCTCACTGAGTTGTCGTACACGAATAAAAGGACTGGAACATTTCCACCAGTGAGCTTTATCCACAAAATTGATCGGGCGTTGGATGTCAAAAGGATTCTCAATGGCCACCATCTTCTTGACCGATTGCCTCACTGGTGTCTCGAAGAAAAGCGTGTCCACATCAACAGCCTTAGAAACGGTGACGTTCACGTCTTGTACGACGTATTCACCACTCTTTTGATTCACCATGCGTACACTCAAGTTAACGGTTCCTTCAATGTAGCAGAAGAACTTCATGTTGTAGTTGCGCGTCACTCCAGCGTGTAGTAGGATTGACGATGGCCCTTGAATAACGACAGACTCATTTCCTGGTGGTTTTTGAGTCTCGACAGCAAATGTTTGCGGTGTCTTCAGCCAGTTCTTGATCGGAATCGAAATTGACAAATTCTTCTTTGCTGCAGTGGACAGGAAGGTTGGTGCTATGGGCAACGGTGCTGACGCTTTGCCGAATAGATTGTACAAGAGCGCACTTCCATCGGGTATAGCGAGAAAAATCGAGCCAGTGTGGACTGTTGGGCGCTGTTCATCGATTTCTTCATGGGAGTTTTGTTTTGTCATAGCCAAAGGAGAGTATAGCACGTCAAGGTTGGCTGTCCCGTGTGCAGAGACTAGAATATTCTCTAGGCACGACCAGTGATCACCTTGAACCACTGGGAACAAGTTCCAGGGAGACGAAGTCGTGTTCTCGAGTACTATGACATTGCGGCTCTCCTGTCGAACTGGAGAACTGAAGTGAACGTCTTGAATCGATGACGTTGCTTGAGGAACACATGAGCCCACCAATGTCAGCGTGGCGGGAGTAGTTCCCTCGACCATGCACGTGGCTCTCTCATAACGAATGTCAGGGTCCACAGCGGCTGGTTTGAAGGTCACCTCAATGATCTTGTGCTGGTTGGGGGCTACATTCCCTTGGGATGGAGACACTGAAAATTCGGGGGCAAACTCGCGTACGTTCCACTGGAATTTAGCGGCGACATCCCCTCGGTTTTGCAACCGTACTTTTCTCACAAGTTGACTGCCTAGACAAATTGGTCCGTACGAAAGAGTGTCAGTCTCCAGTATCACATCAATACCTTGGCAGCATCCGGACAGCGTGAGTAGTTTCTTCGTGCTCACTCCCATTCGTATGAAAACATCTTTCTGAAAGCTCGGAATTCGCCGTGTCGGGGCAAAGAGGAACTCAATGTCGGCCGTTTCTTTTGCTCGGAGTGAGATCTCTTGTTGGGGGAACACTGAGATACCCAACGCATCGAGCAATGGGACTCCTGGTTGAGCCAAATCCACACATTCTATCACAGTTTTTCGCTTGGAGCGGTTTGCGACCTTGACGGTCCGAGACATTTGCTGTCCGATCTGTAAGTTCCCCAGAAAAACCATCTGCATTGACGAATTGACGAGCTCAATTTTGGGGAACACGCCTTCTCCACGGATGCTAACATTAACTGTAGATGACCCATTGATCGTAAATGGAATCACCTCTAGATACGGAACTTCATGTCGTGCTATAAACATTATGGGAATGCTGACTGTCTCGCGTGGGCCCACCATGGTTGGAGGACAATCCACGCGAAGATGAGGTTTCTTTTCGAACAAACAATCAAGATCGATTGCGCTCTCGGGGTCCATATTAAACACGGTGAGCGTTATCATCTCCGCTACTGGAACTGCATCATTTTCTGCGATGAAACAGGGACCAAAGTCGTGAGAGGTGAACGACAAGTGCAACATCGGAGGAACAGCATTCCCGTGCAGTGCTAGCACGTAGTTTTGAGAGCCAGCAATAGTACAGGTCACCTGCATCCCGTCGAGAGATGTTTGCTTTGTCGGAGAAAACCTCAGTGCGCATGTGGTCTTGTCATTCTTCTTGATCGTTCCCTGCATTGGTTCAATGATGAAAGCTTCAGTTGCTTTTGTCACAGTCCAGTTGAAATCGAAGTTAAACTTTCCATTATTATGGATCACAATGAAACGCTGGGCTTCCTCGTTGACGCGCACAGCTCCAAAGTCCAACAAATTACCGAGGCCTGAAACTAATGCCCGGCTTTCGCTTTGATCTTCAGATGTCAAGATGAGTGCATCGTGAATACTATAGCCCTCCCCTTTGACATTCAGAGATAGTCGCGTGGGTTTGCGCTTGATGATACAGTTCAGATTAAAACTGTACGACTTTTCTTCAGTCGGCATGAACTCAACCTCGATCGAAGTTCGACTATTGGGTGGAATCACGCCACTCAGAGGGTGAACAATCAATGCAGGTAACTCTCCTGCAAAGTCCAGCGACGTCTTGTCCAATACAAAATTGAATGGAATAAGCTCCTGATTGATCAACGAAATGCTTTGAGATGTCTTTGTTCCGATCATCAGTGTGTTAAAGTTGACACTTGCACGATCCAACGCGACTCGAGGCTCCGTCGTCGTACCCACAAACACGAAAAGCTGACTAACCTGGAAATGCGGAATTTGAAGTACCAGAACATTTCCTGGAGCTCTAATTGCTGTGGAGTGAATTCAAAAATCATCTCACATCGTTTACCAGCAAGCATCAGACCCTTCGGTGTCGCGCACCGAAAGCACGGGTTGTTGTTCCCTTGCGGGATCCACGAAAACTCATACGACACGTTCGTTGGGTTAACCACGTAAAACCGCCGTGTGTTGCGGACTCGAACGCCAAGAGACGCCATTTCGATGATTCTGATCGAAGGATCTAACGGCCCCAGCTCACCATGAGGGCCTGGGAGGTTCGGAGCTCTCCATTGCGCATAGTCACTCCTTTCTACATCGAAATGGCAAGCAGGTCGGAGAGACTCACCACGAACTTCCACTCGAAGCACCGTAACTTTATCCTTTTGAGTGTCTGGAATGTCGAAGCACAAGCAGTACAAATAACCATCCACTTCCATTGGGGCAAACTTAATAGTAAACGTTTGAGTTTCTTCCCCGTTGATTGTCCCAGTAGCAGGTGTCACGTCAAAAGGGCAATTATCGTCCACATCACCATCAATACCCCCCAAGTCAGACTGACCATGAAGTCCTTCCTCCCATCTGCACGAGTATGCCAAACGGATTTTGCTCTTGTTTTGCAGCGTGATTTTGTGCGTACACACTTGTAGCATGAAGGTTCTGCGAAATGTGATAGAAGTTTTATCACACTCGAAAGATAGGGTATCAGCTGCAGCAAAACAACTTAATACGATGGTCGAGGGAGGCCCAATTGCTTCAAATTCAGGCTCCACAAGTGTTTGCTTTGCAACACCTCCAGCTCCTGCTTGTCCGCCAAATGAAACCGTCTGAAAAGAGTCATCCCAGCCACTTTCGTCACTCCGATTGACTGAGCTGCTTTTATACGAGATTCGCTGAGACTGCAAAGCGATGCGATGAGCCTGATATATGGCCGTTTTATGTGCCGGTTCAAATGTGGATCTAATCAGCTTGTAAGCATTTGGCATGAGATGACCGACACACGGGGAGAAGTGGAATGGATCAGCTTTTGGCCACTCGAAACGCATGATATCAGATGATTGATTGCGTAGCGAGAACACCTTCGTGCTCTTAAAAATTAGAAACCCATCGTTCTTCGTCTCACTCACGTCTGGTAACCGAATATCATCAAAGTGAAGTTCATCATCGTACCCACAAGGCAAGTCTTCAAATACCAAATCTTCTTGATATCCGCATCCAAAGAGCGTGACCGCCGTCTCTTCAAAAGGATTATTCTGCACTGCAATTTTGAGTTGTGATGTGACTGGCTCGTCATGAGCCTTCTGGGGTCGGAACTGCAAGGTCAGCGTCTCAGTAGCTTTTGGGGCCACCATTACCGATCCATTGCCCATTGCGAACAGGAAATTAGGGTTCGATTGACTAGAAAATAATACGGTTGCTGGTAGAATCCCATCGTTGCGTAGTGCTAAACGCATATCCTTGGTTTTTGAAGTCCGAACTCGACCAAAATCTAACATCATGGTACCACTTGAGTCTCGAGCTGTCGGCTCCGTAATTAAAACACAGGGCATTGTTCCTTCCCCTCGCATCTCGAACTCGAGAAGTTTATCCGCCACATTGCTTTGAGGAGGACTATCATCAACCACCGCATTAAAAGTGGCCCGGAACAAGGCAATGGTCGCTGGGCGGAAGTAAACGCTTACGAAACGATGCTCAAGGGGAGGAATCTCCCATACAGCTGGCTGTACAATGAACGCTGGAGAGCCATTTTCGGACTCGGTACTTCCAGTGCTACCGTTTGTTATAGAAAACTGCACCGTGCTGCTCACTTTCATCGGATTCGAGATCTTGAAGCGCTCCACTGTTCCTTTCCAATTTGCCGCTGCAATCAACGGACCAAACGAGAAAATCTTTTCCTTTTCTGCGAATGTGACCGCTTGGGCATTCCCATGATAAGACGAACTGCGAAGTGATGACATTGGCGTAACCGACTCGACTCCTAATGAGCAAATTACCGTTTGTTCCTCGAAGATACTCTCGTAATCCGTCGTGTTAATGCCTGGGTAGCAACTTTCACCGATTAGTTCGTACAGCAGCATGTCCGTCTCAGTCGCATCCTCCGTATTGCGACCTGAAATCTCAATCTGAAGTGTCTCGCTGTACACAGCGCACTCCTTCGGCTGGAATGCGACATCCAATCGCATCGTAGCTCCAGGGTCGATAGTGCCGCAATCTGGGGAAAGCGCAAAGTGGCCTATGGAGAATGTGGCTGGAGACAGTGGTGTATCTAACGTCAAAGGCTCCGTTTCCTCTCTTTCAGTCACCGGTCTAGAAGCTTGGACGCGGAATTTAAACTGGAATTCGCAATCGTTTCGTATTTCAATCCTCTTGGTTTGTGCTTGTTCACTGTACTTGTGGGGACCAAAGTTAATTCCATGGTTTGGCCGGAGTCGAAACTTACTGAAGACCGATCGGGCACTAGCGTGGACGTAGAACTCACGACACGCCTCCCCTGACAGCATTTCAATAATAGTGCACTTGATATCCTTACAGTCACGGAGCGTGACTTCGCTCTTGGATGCAAACGTGACATTCACTGATGAAGACTGCCCAGGCTCCAGCACCATTTCGCTTGGCTCGATCGTGAAGTACTCACGAGTGACTGCATTTCTAATGCCGATGATATACTTGATGCTGTATTTGCCTCTATTGCGAATGTTGAATACTCTAAAGTGCTTCTCTCCAACTCGAACCAGACCAAAGTCCAGAATCCCGTCACCGCTCACCGTGTTTCCTGCAGCTCTAGATGTTGCTTGGCCAGGATCTTCTCTAGTTTCATTGTCAAAAGAACTCACATCGATCTTGTAAGCTTCTCCTCGCAATGTTAACTCAACCGTCCGATTCCGGTCATTCATTTGAAGAGCGCTCTCAGCATCCGAGAATTCAATTCGCAGCAGAAGCTCGTGAACAGCTTCTGTCATTGCCGAGAACACAACCACTACTGGGATTTTCTCCAGAGGTTTCACAGTTCCTTCGACTGGGAAAATCCGAAAATCTTCTGGTAAGTTATCGCATAGTAAACGCCACAAGACCGCAACAGGCGCCACATTCTCGATGTAAAATACCTTTTCCTCTTGTCGCTTCAGCAAGAGCTGCTCGAAATCCAAAACTGGTTGTTTGTGTGAGTGGGATGGAACAGAAGGTTGTTCCACTAGGGATGCACTAGGTCTAGAAGTGGCAGGGGCACTGCCAGGGTTATCGGACCTAGAAGACCTGGGAGTCTTACTGGTTGTTGCGTCGTCAGCCTGTCGATGGTCCTCCCGCTCTGATGTACTCGCCGCAGCTGGTTGTTCCCATGGTCCTCGCAGCTTTAACTCTGGTTTACATCCGTAGCAACTGATCTGGAATTTCACAGGCTCCGGGTTGTCGCCAATACAGCAAATTAAGGCGTTCTCATGAAGCCCAACCTCCAACGGGTTTGCCCACACTTTGACTTCTCTCGTGTCGCCCTCATTGATCTCAACTGCAGCAGGGAACACAACAAATGTATCATCTCCTTGCTTTTCCATTCCATACTCCAGTTGAATCGGAAACTTGCTGCTATTGGACATCCGGAACACTTCGACATTGTTTGGACTCGTTTTCTGCCACTCGATGAACTCTCGCTCGGTCTGCGGTGCTTTCGCTTGCTGGTTGGTGATAATAAGCGGACCGAACTCGAACTGGTTCCTTGAGATCACAAATTTCTTCTGAACAAATGCACCTTCTGGGCGGCTTTTGACGCGGTGCATGATCACATTCCTCGGGTCATTGTTTATGGTCGGCACACCACAGACTCCACGACCAAACAAAGTAAATTCACGTTAAACACCTACAATTTCAAAGCCCAAAGTGCAGTCGAAGTTGCCAATATCAGGTGAAGTGAGCTGAACCAGCACATTAACTCTCGAGTGAGGAGCAATTACCCAGCGGCAAGCGGAAGGACAAACTCGCGTCTTAGGACGTTGCAGTCCAGTGCTCAAGGCTTCAGAGGATTGGTGGGTATCCATGCTATCAGTTGGTCTCTCCGAGTGTTCTCCAACCTCTATGACCTGTACGTGACTCGGCGTTTTACCAGCAGTTTGAGGACGCGAAGAGTGTTTGCTTGGTATTTGAGAGCGCGATCCACTGGTATGGAGGCTCTTCTCACTGCTGCTAGCTTCATGTGCACCTGAAGATTGCATTGCTGGCGACCGCAATGAAAAACGAGCGACTCTTTTTCGAGGAAACCTCTCTAGAGGCCTCCGAACAAGTTGAAACTTGGCAGGAGAGGGGATTGGTTTGTGGCTGGTTTCCAACTCGCGGACAAACTTTTCAACAGCTGAGAAGATTGCACTGTGGATAAGAAGCGGTGGGCCAGCATCTACGATTGGAATGTCCAGAAGGAAACGGTCGGGTGTAGCTCGATCCTTCACTTGTGACCATATGGCATCATCATTATCACACGCCTCAGAGCTCAGTGGGGTAGAGCTTTCCATTTCCAGTTCCTCTCGAACTATAATCAAAGCCAATTGACGCTTCATGGCTTTTAGCATTTGTGAATACTCCACAAAGGTTGCAGGCTTGAGTTCTTGTGCAGACAGTGAATGTGTCAGATCGTTGGCCTTGTCACTTACAGTGTTCTCCTCGCTAGCATCTGTCCCAGCCGACACATCTTCGCGTACGTTTGCTTCCAAATTTATTGATTGTCGCGATGGAGAAGCTGACAGGGCCTTTGTTTCTGCCTCTAGAGCAACATTTGTATCAGGAGCAGACTGTTGGACTTCTTCTCCTTCCACGCTACGATCGGTTGCCTCTCCATCAACTCCAGCTGTATCATTATTCCCAACGTTTCCTGAGCCGACCGGATTTAAGCGATCACGCGAAGGAGATGGCGAAACAAAACCGCCACTTCCGGGTCTACTGGTTTGACTTTCAAGCACCGTACTCATCGACTCGTAGCTGTCTTCATCGAATCCCAGTACGATGATCCGCGCAGTTACCGAGCAGCATTTAAGCGTTTCTTCAACGCTTAGAAATGAATTTTCAAAACCGTCCAAAACGCTGCCGCTTTTGAGATCTGGTTGTGCCAGTCTCCACAAAACAATCTGGTTTAATAAATGAGCGAGTCTGTCAGCGATGGATTCTACCTCTCGTGTGCTATCTTCGACTGATTCTGGAACCTCTGAAGGCAAAATTTCACTTTCGCCTTTGTTGTTCACAAGCGCTTTACGTGCGGCTGTCGCTAGCGATCCCTTTGCGGCGCATATCGAGTTAATTGCGCCATCAATCGTCCAGATAGCCAACGATTCCTTCTCTGCAAGAAGACGCGCCTGTGTTGACTTCCCGCATCGTGGTGGGCCTACCATTATGTAGTCAATACCTTTTCTTGGTGCAGGATTAAAATCTGCAATACTCTTCAAGGTCATATCCCTTTGTTCTTTGGACCCAATGCCCTCGTTCTCTGCCAAGTGTGAAGAAGAATCAGTGGGATTGTGTAGCTCACTAGGTTGGCCAGTACCACCTGTCGACACAACGTCTGACGAACTCATCGGGGCCAACCCATTTTCCGCCAAGTATTCATCAATAGGTTGCCCTGGAACACGAACCGACAATTGGAGCATATCCTCCGCGTTGAAAGCATTCAGAGACCGGAATTGTTCTTCATCCTGTTGATACATCGAGTCAAAGTCCAGAGAAAACACCTCAATTGGGTAGTCCGAGTCATTGCGTATCTCTACTAGTTGTTCTTCCGGTGGAGCACAAGGGAGCACAGGACCCAACTCAATAAGAGGCGGAGAGAAAGAGATACGTAATTCTGACCCTTCTCCACGACAAGCAATGGATCGTGTCTTTGGATTCGAGCTGATCTTGATCGGGAGCTTGAGCATGAACTGGCGTCCACTATCCGGAATAAACTCGATCTGAATATTTGCTTTGGCCCCCGGTGTTAGTAGTCCAGACTGCGGACTAAAGCGGAAATTCCCCACATCCTTCGTAGATCCCATCGGCTTCTTGAACGCCCACTCTGCAGGCACGGCCGAGATATTCTGCAACTGAGTAAACATGGTGTGGCACGTACTCACCGCGATCTTGCCAAAATCAAGACTTTCAGTCGAGATGGAGATATCTGGCACCGTCACAAGAGCTCGAACCATCGCAATACAAGGAGGTCGGTTCTTGATCACAATGGGCAACTGAGTCATGTGGAGGCCCATCCCAACGTTTTTGCGAGCGTGAAAAGTGACACTAAACTCAACGGACTCTTTTTCGGGCAATCGCACTACTCTCTCAGGCTCAATCTGGAAGCCTCTGGAGCTTGCCAAATTCTTGTCAAGTTGGAACGAAGCAGGGCCGTGACCGATGTTAGTAACACTAAACCGTTTGATCTTATGCGTTCCCACGACAACATTCCCAAAGTCTAACACGAATTGGGACATTACAAATGGAAACACTTCTGTTCCGCGTCTCTTCTTGGCATCTGACGTAGACGAAGGTGGTCGAAATGGTTTAGTAGCAGCCTTGGTGCTCCCTGGGTCTTTTTCAGTTGGGTGGTCGTTATGTGCTTCGATTGTCTTCAATGCCCTTGCCTCGGCTTTTATTGCTTCTTGTACGAGGAGATAGTCAGCAAAAAATAAGCGGCAAGCTTCAATTTCGATGTCCAACTCGTCCACGGCTGATGTCGCCACACCGCGACCCGGAGAGCCAAGAGCTCCAATGCGTTGACTTGCTCCCTTTGCCTGGGGTGATGCTGGCAATAATACTGCAGAGCTGAGCTTCTCAATTTCTCGACCTGCGGTTGACACAGTCGACTTGGAGTCTAGCACAGCCATTGCGGTATTACTACTCAGCAGACGCTGACTGTTCCTCGGATCTGCAACTGCCGAGCTTTGCATCCCAAGCTCAATACTCTGTTTCGCGCGCTTCTTTAACTCCTTCCACTTCGGTTCTTCGCCACGAACAGCGCTAGATGAATGGGGTTCGCGTGGTAAATTCAGTGACACTGCGGCAAACGTTCCACTACCAAACAATTTGAACGGAATTGGCTCGAAATGCGCGATCTCAAGCACCATAGTCTCTTCGAAATACTCAGGGATGCCAGGGCGTAAGCGAGTCAGAATTTTTTGCTTCTCGTTGGGGGCAATCCTCCCACTGATAGGCGAGATCTCCAAAGCTCTTCCACAAGCAACGCTATCGACCACAATGTTGAAAGAGAAAGGCACTTTACCAACGTTCAGAATGTAAAAGTCGCGATCTTCCGTCTTGTTGTATAGTACTTGGCCAAAGTCCAGCGATTGTTTGTCCAGCTTGTACACAAGAGACGATGCTTCGCCCAAAAGAGTTAGCTCGTACTCAGGACCACCTCCCACTTCACAGGCCACAGTACTCTTAAACTTTCGGTTTGCATGCCCGTAGTAAACAAAATCGATCTTCTCGCTCTCATTTGGTTTCAGAGTCCCGCGGATCGGCAGGATGTCGAACACTTGATTGATAGGAATGTATGGTTTCTTGGCAGTAGCGCTAGACAAAGCCTCCTTCTCGTCTTCTATGAAAACCCAGCGAAAACTCGTGTCCACTATTGGAGACGTTGGTCACGTTCATAATGATGGACTTTTGAGTACCATTCAGTGTGCAGCCAAAGTCGATTTTGGTCATCCCGAAGGAAAGATTGGGGAAGCTTATGTCTCCTATCAGCTCCACACTGTCTTTCTGGGGATGCCCCGTGTAGGAAACAAGTACCTTTCCATTTATGACCCGACAAGTGTGGTCATCCTTGAATCCTGGATAAAACTCCACGTGTAGAGCTACCTTCTCACCTGGTTGTAGCACTGCCTCCCAGCAATCGAGAGCAAACGGAGTCTGCGTGCGGAGCGTGAAAGATAACGGGAGCTCGCAGGCATTCGTGAAACTCAGAGGCTGCGACTGCGTTATGATTTGTTTTCCAGGGTGGTGAATATACTCGAACGACAGCAACGACGAAGACGGGGTGAGTTTTGGATCGATGAAGTTAGCGCGGATCGCAGTTACGAACGCAACTCTGCTGACTTTTTCCTTCCCCACCCGCGTCTCGCATACCAGTTCTTCTTGTATGAGTCCAGCTGTCGAAGAAAGTCCCTTGAATACAAAGATACACGCTGTGCGTGGCTTCAACTCGATCGTCCCTGGGAAGACAGAAAAGGCAGGGATCACTTCGTCTGGCCCATCAGGTGCGCCATTCATTCCATTGCGGTTGTTGTTGCCCGTATTGCTTGGCTTTGTAGTCGATCGATTATCCTGTCCTGCTCTTGACTTTGACGTCCCCCGGTCTGTCGGGTTGAGTTTACTGTTGGCAACAGCGACGATTTTGTTGGTCCAAGTGAGCACCTGTACACGCTTCCCCTTGTTTTCAAGAGTACAGCTCCACTCACACTCCTTGCTAGTCATTTGGTGACTTAAATCGATAACTCGAAGTTCACTCGGCGACCACATGGTTGTTCCCGTTCCTCTGATCCATAAGGGAACGACGAGATTGTCCCCTTCTGTGATCAAAATGTGTAGTTGGTCCTTGAACACCATAGTATCATCCAGGTTGGCCACGAGCACAAAATCGAGACTTTCGCCAGCCATCAGCACACCTTCTTTCTGGTCAATCTGGAACTTCGAACGAGCGCCGCGAACAAATGTTTTGTACGCTGCCGCGATCAACGAGACATTGGTCATGCGCAGGGTCCGTTCATGATCCACGAGACACGAACAGTTTCCCCAGTTTATCTCGGGTTGGTCCAATTCAACCTTTGGACCAGAGCCAGTAGCGCTAAGGGTCACAGACAAGGGGAGATCAGTGCTACCTAGGACAGTTATCACCATTGGAAGGCGGATACTGCCAAGCTTTTCACAAGATAACGAGATCTCCACAGACACGCGCTCGCCTGGACTTACACTGCCGGTGAACTCACTTGTGCTATATGTGGCGATGGCACGAGAGTGATCATCCTGCTCACCGATTTCAAAGCGTCCAAACAAGTGCGTTGACTTGTTCTCCAAGACGAGCATCTGCTTATGCGGGTATCGAAGAAAGCATCGACCGAAATCTAGCTCCTGTTTAAGGACGGCTATCTCAGGGACAAAGCACTGAGCGCGCACGGGAATACTCAGCAAATCAGCTCCGACACCAGGGACACCAACAACAAGCTCGTACTGGTAAACTTTGACGTTGTGGGACGTAAATCGGATCGAGATCTGCTGCTCTCCGTACGGGTCTAGCTTTCCATCTGACGGGATTAGCTCGAGCTCCTTTTGCTTGTAGTTGGCCTCTTCCGGGACGCGCAGAAAATATTTCATTGCGATCTTAGAAGCGTTGACAAGCTTGACGGTTCGGGTCTGTGGGAAGGAATAGGAGATCGCTCCAAAGTCCACTTGGTCCACATCGAAGTGGAATACTGGGGGGATCACGTTCGCTTTAAAACGCGCTGCTAATTGCTCATCGGAGCCCTGCATGCCGAAGCAAATGTGGTAGAAGGCTTCTCCCAGCTCTTGAGAGCAGAAAGTCACCTCAATCTTGAGCATCTCATTGACCGCCAGAGTCCCGTATCTAGGATGAACTGTTAACAAAGTACCTGGAGGCGTCGTCAACGGGATCAGCTCGAATTCTGCTGGAATTTCGCCCTTATTTTGAATGGTAAAGCCTCGCGTACGCTCGTCATTGATGAACACATCGCCGAAGTCCACAGGCTCATTGTACACCACTTTGGCCTTGGGACCAATCCCCTTACCTCGCAGTTGTAGCGGGAGACGTGCTGCCTGCCCCGCGATCTCGAGAAATGCTCGACAAGAATACAAATGTGCTTCTTCAGGAGTGAAGCACACCACAACGTCCACCTCGGAATGAGCCCAGACTCTCCCACTCAGTGGCGTTATCGAAAAGCACGCGTCTACGAACTGCATTGAGTCGTCTAGAGTCGCCTTACGTAAATGTCTGTACTTGGTGTCCTGCGTCTTTCGCACGTCAAAAGGCGAATCCGTGAGCCCCGAGTTGACATCCTCGATTTCCTGGAGTTGCAGCTGCAGCTGTTCGTGCTCTGCCGTCTCCATCCGAGACAGTTCTGCTAGAAGTCGGGTGCGTTCTCCCTCCTCCCCAATAGTATCTGCAAAGGATTTCCACGAAAAGTCAAGCGTGAACTCAGACTCGTTGCAGATCTTGACTGTTTTGCGAAATGCAAGCGATAGATACGTAGCGCTGGGCTCCACCAAGGGCTGGCCCAAGAAGACGTCCACGTTTACCACGCGACCTACTAGCTGGACGACTGCTATTTGGCCGCTGTCATCCTTAACCTCCAGTTCACCTTTGTTGAAGTAACCATCTCCGATGTGATACTGACTATCTAGGGGAATATAATTGTGCTATATCATATAGAGATTTCTTATATAACTGGACTGGTTGGTGGAGAATAACTCCCCTCCAGGACACCAGACTATCTAAATCACCACTTCCTCTTTTACGAACTCTACCACACAAGCGTCTTCTCCTTCTACATTCAAGACTTCCTCTTCACTATGGCCGCCTAATCCTCTCTACTTTTGTCCTCATTCAGTTCTGTACTGCCCTAACAACTCTGCGCAAATCATTCCTTCAACAGGTTATCAGCCCAACGCTTCGCCAGGGTACTGACGAGCTGAAAGCGGTAAGACGATGCGCCTCCAAGCCCCAAGGCTCATGAAGGAGATCGGAGAGAAAATCGCCCGACGGACACCAACTCGCGTGAGGCCACGTTGCCAACTTGGCTCCAGCCACTGTGCTGTAGCACAGCATGCGTAGTTATTCGCCATGCTGGGAGGTCATGAAACCCCCGCGCCAGCCATGGAGCTGTAGCGCCGCACGAGACACATACATTCCGTGCCACACCGGCCATTGCCGAGTTGTGAGGCCATGATGCCAGACCAGCCATAGCGCTGTACTATTGCTGCTGGTTGAAAAGCCGAACTAGAAGGCCACAGTGCCTTGTGCTCTACGTACATGTACGCGTACACGTACACGTACACATACACGTACATGCATTTGATGATGTACAAGTACATGTAGTACATATTTAAGGCGAAGAACTAAATACCGCCCTCACGCACCAGCAGCATTGCTGTAGTGTCACGCCATACTGGGAGGCCAAATGCCCCACTTGCGAGCTATAAAGCTGTGCTTAAAATATTCCAGCTACAAGCTGTGTATTTACTACTAGTATATGTGTACTTAATGAGATACCATTTTAAATATGTACATCTCGAGCTACAAGGCCGAATGGCACAGCTAAAACCTCGCTTAATGCAAAGCTGCAGCAGTCTACTAAATGCAGATCTACGGCTTGTTGAGAACAGGTAATCCACTACATTTTGGACCTGTAAAATAAAAATATACCTTAAAAAAACAAGAAAGAGATAAAATGAAAATGGGCAATTGTCCATACAAACATGTGTCTGGTATTTAACCAAGTTAAGAAATACGCCCAGAAATGTATGAAACTGGGAGGCAACAACGCCGAAACAATTCATTCAATTCACCAAACTTAAAAAATTTATTGCGGCAAAAGTTTCAAACATTTCCAGCATAAAGAAAAAATCTTCAATACTTTATGACTTTAAGACAAGCCTACACAAGCCTCTGTCTACAGAAAGCAACTATAGTTTTACTGCATTAGTTTCATTTTCAATGGAATCGATAGTTTACAAACCTATTGCTTGCACTTGCGAAGTATAAACAAAATAAAAATCTTCGAAATGAGAAACAACTCCATGAGCCTCTAGGGAGAAAAATAGCCCCAACGATGAGAGCCTGCAAACAAGATGCGTACATGTACACTACCAATGACACTGTTAGATGTTTTTATGCTTTGAAAGCTGTAGCCTTTCTTTAAAAATATTTGAAAACTATAAACTCTCCACACAAAAGTAAAAGCAATCACAATAATAACAAACAGCAAATACGAAATTTCAAAGTGTGAAGAAATATCCACAAACTAAAGAGCACAAAACTGGCAGTTTAATGAACAAAAGTTTAACACAACTTTCACAAAATATCTAAATATCAACACGGTGAACAGGTGTATCCTCAAAGGTTTCCTGAGTAGCCAACAATACAGCGAACAGGTTTTGACACCTCAAAATGAAAGGTTTTCTTGAGTAGCTTTCTTCAAAACGCGTGCAACAAAAGCGCTAACAACGACATCCTACTATGGTGAACAGGTTTAATCCTCTACGGTTTTCCTGAGTAGCCAAAATAACAATAAAACAAGAAATCTGTACAACCCCTGCCAAAACTGGTAACAAAACGACAAATCTGACAATAGAAGTCAAAGAAAAAAGAATGTCAATATCAAAACAAGATCTACCTCTTGTAAATGTTCATGTACGCACAGGACTGTTATTAACAGCCACCTGTGGTGCACCTGACAGATAGAGCATCATACACATTCCTCGATGTGGGAGGCTGTTGAAGTAACCATCTCCGATGTGATACTGACTATCTAGGGGAATATAATTGTGCTATATCATATAGAGATTTCTTATATAACTGGACTGGTTGGTGGAGAATAACTCCCCTCCAGGACACCAGACTATCTAAATCACCACTTCCTCTTTTACGAGCTCTACCACACAAGCGTCTTCTCCTTCTACATTCAAGACTTCCTCTTCACTATGGCCGCCTAATCCTCTCTACCTTTGTCCTCATTCAGTTCTGTACTGCCCTAACAACTCTGCGCAAATCATTCCTTCAACAACCTTCACCCGAGTCCAGATTAGGTGGAATTAGCCTCAGTTCAATCTGCACCGCTGCCCCCTGTGCCAGTGTCGCACTAGGAGGGGTCACTCGGAAGTGCTCGCTCGTTTGAAAAGTAAAAGAGGAGCCGCGTGTCCCCACATTCCTCACGGTTAGGACGCGAGTCGTGGACATCTTGACCGGACAGATGCCGAATTCGAGCTGATCGGGCAAGTCCAATGCTGCAAAACGCCCTCGCACTCGAATTGGCAACAAGAAACGCTCACGCTCTGTGCAGCACACGAGGTCTAGTGAATAATCTGTGACTTCCTGTGGGAAGAACTCGAGGACGAAGGCGATCTCCATTCCTGCGGCTACTTTGCCATTTTCTACTCGATCAGGTTTAGAGTTTCTGGCTTCCCAAGGCCAAACTCGAAAGATAGGAGACCGTGGAGACTCAATCCTGAGGCGACGCACGACGGTGTCGCAGTTACGGAAGCGGAGCTTGATGCTGAGGGGCTCGAATGGCGTGTACTCGTCGATCCAGACTTCGGCTGGCATGGCTTCGAATAAAGGCTGGTGCAAAGGAACAGTGCTCGATACATGCAAGGTGTGGTCTTCAGCATTCACCAGCTCAATGACCCGACTCGTCGCATGTTTGGAGGCATGGGCCTTTGCCGTCGAGAAGGCTGTGAGGATCTCGCTCGGCTTCTGTTAGTAAATGGACATAACACGCAGAAGTTTAGACCAATAGGATAATCCCATGACCATCGAGATGATCAGAGCGTACGAGGCGTTTGGACATGACTCGCAGTCGTACGGGGGCGCTTTTTCACCGCACAAAGGATTGTTTTTGGATCTGCCAGATGTGTCTAACCAGTGAAGAGGCACCAGAACGACTCGCCAAGTGGGCGGGTCAGCTGAAAAACAAGGATAGCTACTTTCAAGGAGAGCTGTACAGCCTTTTCTACATGTGCTTATTGCCAAAAGCTATCGGTAGATACATGTAGTGGTGCGTTGGTGAAGTTGGTGCCAATGATGACAAAAGTGTGCGATCGTACATCCGGTGTTGCAGGATTTTAACGATGAGATCAGTTCTCGAAGAAGGGGTTCCGCCGCCATGTGCGACCCATGCGAAAAAGCTGGCGCGAATTTCTCCAAATCGTGTGATCAGTCCCGAATTTCCTTTGTGACGTCACAAGGCGCTGATAGGAAAGAAGAAAAGCTCACTCGTCATGGCTGCTCGCATTAAGGATGTGCTCAAGCGCTACGGGCGCACCGCCTTCCTCTTTAACTCTACGGTTTTCGCTTCGACGCTCGCAGGCTCCTACGCTGCTATTAGTCAGGGCATCGATCTGAAGACGATCGCCAAGCGCGTCCCTTTCGTGGACTTGTCCCAGACGCCGGCACACTGGCACTCGCCTACCTGTCGACCGTAGCTACTGGCCCAGCACGAGGTGCGCTCACGATCGCCGCGTCTCCATTTCTTGCGCGTTTGCTGGTCCGTACCCGCCAGCTCACCAAAATGTAGACGAGAAGCAGCAGTAGCTCAGCAGCCTAATGCATAAGAACTCAAAATTCTTCTTGCCTCCTCAGGAAGCATTTGCTTACTGTAGTAGCTGAGTTTTTTCTTCTTTTACAGTATCATAGATCGCGTGCTGCTCGTATCATCCATAAGTGCCATATTCCAAGAGCGCAAAGCATTGCCCTCTTGGTCCACAGCAAGTCTAAACTACTACTAATGTACAGTGCCAGTAGTAGTTGGAATGTTGACACAAATGTCATTTTGCCCTGCACTTACAATGGGTTTCACTTTTTTGTCGTGCCGTGGAGCTTTGGGAAAAACGGCACTTGGAGCTTCGTGTCCAGAGGTGCAAGTTTAGGAAGCTCCTCTCCATCGACCACGATCGTGTTTGAATTTACCGCGATACTTAACCACGCCAGGCTAAGGTACGAATGCATCACGTCGGGAACGGTGTCGGGGTATTTACACAATCCACCGAAGGGGAACTGACACGAGTAGATAAACTTCTTGCAGCTGGGGATATCCACAAACGAGTGTTTGCCCAGGAGGTCGAGGGTAGCGCCGTTCCAGAAGGCGTAGCAGGAGTCGGGGCTCTTGTTGCATCGTCCCTGGAAACCTCCTTGCTGTCGGAACACCAGCCATCGCACCAGATCCGACTGCTCGCACTTGAGCTGCATCACTCGTCCAGACAAAAACAGCGACGCGATGGCAACGAATACTGCCCCGCCATGCGATTCAGCGCCAGTGCTGAGCCCGATGCCTCCGTCATAATTCTACACACAACAACGAACGATCTTGTCAGCAGTCGTGTATACGTGTTGATACCAGACACGAGTTGATGAATACTAGAGGGAGAGAGATACCAGACATGAGTTAATGAAGCGCACCATCGCCACCCGATCGACACCGGACCAGTCTTCCAGAATGTAAGATATGGCACAGGCGCAGTAGACGAAGCGCATATCTTCTTCCGATCCAGCGTTTGCTGACGAAAAGCTACAGAACCACCATCAGCATCAGGACTGTACCATCTGTGCTTGTCCCGTACCATCCTGTCGTTTTGTTCTGTAAATGTTTTAAAGATCCAATGATTGCGGCCTTGTTCACTCGACTGAGGTCATCGCCAAGCGTCCGGAGGATGCAGAGCGCAGCGAAGGTCGACGCGATGTTGCTCGAGTCGTACACCTCGCTTTGAAACTGGGACGGTGGGCAACCAAAGGTGTTCCCCATGAAGGTGCCGCCCCGGAAACCGCAGTCATCCGCATTGAGGCTGACGTCGCGGCAGTCTGGAGACACCTGTAGACTATAGACCCACTCAATGATCTGGCACTTGTCAACGAGCTCAAGTTCCTCCAGTAGTGCCAGCCCGTGGATGCAGAAGAAAGCCAACACCACGCGCTGCGAGTCCTGAGATGCGTACGGCTCAGGCAGCGACCGCAGATTCTTGAGGAAATAGCGCGTATGGAGCTCCCGGTCAAACGTGGTTGCCATCTTCGTGCCGTGCAAGAATAAAAAGTGATATTTCGCTCTAATACAATATAACAAGTACAGTACAGGGTGAAGAAAAAGAGAAAGTAAAGAAGTAGTACTTCACATCGTTAGTTATTACTACTACCGTACTTAAAAGTAGTAGTAGTAGCTTCGAGCAGCGTCATACAACCAAGTGTCAATGCAAAATCATTAGTTCAAGCTGTTTATTCGATCTGGAAAACGGCCGAGTTGGGTGGGCCTGTCATGCTCTCGTCGTCGTCCTCGGGGCGGCGGATTCGGAAGTCAAACTTGACATTCATGAGACGCTGGTTATCAGCACGGCGCATGACGGCGATTTCGCCGACCACCACGTCGCCCTCGCACACCTGCATGGGAGGGTATAGCGGGAAAACTTGCTGCCCCCAGTGTGTAGGCTGCACGAAGGGCGACGTAGTGAGCGTCACCTCCTTCTCGGCCGGGTTCTCAGCGCAACCCCTGAAGTCAACATCGAACCAGCCGGCAATGCCACCGAAGCGCGACATAACGGAGATCGGCATTGAAAACGAAGCCTTAACCTCCTTGATGTCGTCTAGCGTGCACGTCTTGAGATCCCACTTGGCGAACTCAACCTCATCGCCGATGAGGTCTCCAGCGCTGAGTTCCTCCCAAGATGACGTGTGCAACGAGTACTGTTCCTGTTCCTTGCGGAAGGCGTTACCTAGAACGCTCATATCAACACCCCAAGAGACCTAAAGGCACAGCAGCAATTGCCGTTGGAGAAAAAACATCAGTTAGTGTTAGAGGAGGCTCGACGAGAAGAAGCTCGAAAGAATGAGTGTCTCAACCTTAGTGTTGTCGATAAAGCCTCGCCACGAATCCATCGCCGAGGAGAATTCTGCGAAGCGCTTGTTGCTGTTGTCCTCGTTGCACATGGGAGCAATAAACATGCTGGCATGGGACGGGAACATGGCACCCTCGGGCTTGAGCCAGCGGTCGCGCGCCACGATGACCGAGTCAAACATGGATTCACGTAGAAGGAAGTAGCCCATCCATTCCGAAATAATGACGTCCACCTTCTCCGGCAGCTCCGCCTCCTCGATCTTGGACTGAATGACCGTGATAATGTGGTCCTGGTTGTTGGCCTTTATCACCTTGCGAGCCTGCTGTGCGATATCCGTGGCCTCCACTGCGTATACCTTACGTGCGCCAGCTTGAGCTGCCCAAATGGAAAGGATGCCACTACCAGTACCCACATCGAGCACAACCTTGTCCTTGAAGTGGTTGGGGTTCTCGAAGATGGCGTCGCGGTAGCTCTGCATGCGCAGATCGTCCGACAGCATCTGCTTCTGATGGTAAATGAAGGCATACGTGCAAAAGTAGTTGGCAAAGTCCGAGGACGACTCCCACTCCTTCTTCTTGTCCGGCGAGATGTCGCGCGGGTTCGAGTCCGTCATCTTTGAGAGGCTCTGTCCTGTATAGTGGGCAATGGCGAACAGCAAACTCTGAGTTTAACTCAGTGATGGCCACCCAAAAGGTAGAGAGATCCCTCACTAAAGTGACGAGTGACATCAGTCACTTCTAATCGCACAGTTTTATTAAAAAAGTAAAAAAAAAATCCGCTCGACCATTTCCCACCATGGGGGACGACGACTTGAAGCGTGCGTTCCAGGCTCTGTGCGGGGACTATGAGGAGCTTTTGGACGAGGCCGCGCAGGTCACACAGACTGCGGACGAGCGCGTCGGCCTGGCGTTGTTCAAGATTGACGAGGCGTGTGCGGCGGCCGACGGACTGAGGCAGGACGCGGAGCAGATCCAGGAGCAGCTGCTGACCGAGCTGTTGAACAACTGCCATGAACTCGAGGACATTTTCCTCCGTGTGAACCTCATCGAGGTAGGTGAAGGCTGCATCTACAATCATGGCGGAGCAAATATTGAATGTGCTTGTGGTTTTGACCAGCGCTTTGTGGGGCGGGTGCTAGTGACCACGAGGGAGCTCGAGAAACGCATGGAGAGCATCAGTCGCGCCGCTGGTCCTGTGTTTAACCCGAGTACCAGCGTCACCAGTTTATTCCGTTCCTTTTCCATTACGGTGCGTTGTCTGCACACTGGTTCGAGGGCGGATAGGTGGTTGACCAGCGAGCTATTTGTGTGTTGTTGCTCCTGTAGCGTGGTGCTTCAGGCGTGCCTTCAACCGATGACAAATGGAGTCCTGTGGCTTTCGACTTCAGTACAAAAGAACTCGTGGTGAGGTTAGAGAAGAGCGATGCGCGGGAGCTCGGCGTCTCGATTTCGTCTTCGTCGGCAACAGAGTCAACAGCGGAAACAGGAGGCTAGCTGACTCCAGTGGCACAAGTAACCGTTTACAATAACGATTTCTTTCATTATTAAAATTTAACAAGGAGAATAGGTTTACCCGTTTCTAAGGTTAAGGAGCAGTTTTAGCGAGACGACCGCTCAACCGGATCATGATGGGTAGACCAAATAGACCGGGCGAAGCCATCAAAACATGTGGTTTTCCAATACCGGTATCACACTGGTATTGCACTTTTTGTCTAAATATAGATTTTCATCAACTATTCACTAACTTTTCACCAACTATCACCAACTCGCCCTACTGGCCTGTTGTTCACCAGACAAGTATAGGTTCCTGGTGAAGATGTCAACAAACTATCGGATGAATGCATGAACAACATGTATTACACTCATTTATCGCCATACTTGTGACGTGTGTTCGGCTCCGTCGGGATCCACTGCTGGACCATCCGTGGCGGTGTCTACCGTCTCCCGACCAGCCTCCACTGGATCTTGACCGGTGGGATCTGGGTCCGGTAAGGCGAAGGTCAACCGTACCATTCCCATCGGCTGTGGACTCGGCAGCTCGGAAGACGACGAGGACGAAGTATCCGATTGGTCCGACGGCTCGGGACCTCCTATCCGTTCGTCTTTGAAGCGTACCCTCTCCGCGGGCCACTATTCGTTCAGCCCCGACGATGATGCCGACGATAATGATGAGGATCCTGAGGATTCCGAGGAGGCCTGAATCGCCGACGATGCTTTGGAGGAAGACATGCGGCGGGCTTTGTCGCAGTCCAGATCTGAAGCTCGGCGGAGATCTCACTCGACGCCGACCAAGCAAGTTGCTGGCGCGCTCGGATCTGGAGACGGCACTGCGGGATCCGCTATCCCGGTCGATAGTGATGATGGATCGGGCAGCGATGATGGAGAGGGGTCACCCCACGATGGTGGATCCACTAGATCTGCCTTGGTCACCGCTCCTCCTAACTCTTCTCTACCAGGCATGCTTCCCGTGGCCCCGTTCGGTCCGGATGCAACCTTCATACCTGGTCGGCTCGCGCCTTTGGCCTTCACCGCAGACGCTATCGAGCCTTGGTCCGCAAAGAAGTTGAACCGGGTAGACATCGCTTCTATGAAAATCACTGTTCTGTTCCCCTGAGCTGCCGTTTCGTACCGAGTGGATATTCCCTCGCGAAGAGGATGACATGCCGGCATCCGGGTATGTGGGTTCGTTAGTCACCAGATCCCATGTGAAAGAGTTGCACAATGCTGCACCATGGGAAATTCTGACGACTACCCTGGTGGATCCCGTTAGCTTTCGAGGTGACGTCGGTGGACGCCTCGGGTTGTTCGTTGGTGCCTTCCGAGATTTCGCTTCTAAACACCGGATTGCACTATGGGAAGGTTCCCATCGGTTCCCCCGTTTCTCGTGCCCAACTGCGGGATTTAACATGGCTGTTGAACTTCAACAAGCAGCGCGGCACCAGTCCGGTCGGGCTTGGAAGAAAGTTCTCGTGATCCTCGTGTTGGCAATTCAAGACGGTTGGTGTGACGTGGATATCTTGCTGGATCCGTTCTTCTTACACCTTCCCCGACGTGGGGATAAGGGGTCGTGGTTTCCGGGATCCGTGTCTCGTCAAGCCAACTTGGAAAATCCCAGTTCACCGCCCGGAACCTACGAACTTACTGGAGGCTCTGCGAGGGCTTGACGAAGTCGAGCCTTGGCGCATCCAATTTCGGAAAAACCCCAGCCAACATCCCGGACACCGGGTCCAGCGTCGGGCGGGCAAGTTCTGCAACGTTCAGCCCCAGACCACCTGATCCATACCGCTCTTTCACGCTGCGCCCCAGTTCCAGTCTCCGTGGATCCGTCTCGTAGTAGTAACTAGCGGCTGGAAACTGGGTCGATTTAGTCTGTTTGTATAAACTTTCTTAATCCAATTTTCGTTACTTGAATATGTGTTCTCTAACATTCTCTTGTTCGATTGAGGAGCTATGTCAGAGCCTTCCAGCGTACACTTGGATCTGAGCTAGAACTACCCTTTCAACATACGCCTGAATCTGGGCTAGATCCGCCCTGGGCTCCAAACCAAATTCGTATCAGGATCTGTACCAACTTCTGGATCCGAACTGGATCCGCGCTTGGATTCAAGCCGGATCCACCTCTTACGGTCGAGTCATCATTAGACCAATATGGTCCAAGCACTCGAAAACCCGCATTTGGTCCGAGACTCTTTGCACGTGAAGACGTCACTTTTTTTGCATAAAACAATCACTGTTTCCTCCTGATCCACACGCTTCGTGTGGATCCTTCTTCTCTTTTTCTCTAATATGACCAGCTCACATCAGTGATTCTCCCCCTCCTGGCCCACACCCCACTTGTGGGTCCTTCTTCATTCTCCCATCGATATGACCAGCTCACACCCATGGATCCCCCT